CCATCCCAGAGTGCTATGAGACAGGGAAAAGAGAAAGACACCTCTGCGGAGCTAGAGAAGAAGAAAGGGGTACGGGCCAGGAGAACAAGGAGAGAGAAAGGAAGAAAAGGAGGAAAGGGGAGAAAGAAAAGAAAAAGAAAGGAAAAAATAAAGGAAGAAAGAAAATACAAGCAATACATTAATTAACGGTCTGTGCTGCGGTCAGACTTCTACTCAGCAGGGTCCCTTCTTGAACTAGAGTACTTGCGGCTGCTTTGGAGCTAGACTTTCCTCGTGGAGTCAACTCTGCCCGTCCTGGGAGTTTTTCCCATAAGCCTGCTTCACATCAGATCCTTTAAACCTTCCAACAACTTTATAAACACTCAATTTTCTTCTTTAGCATTTTCCTACTTGAAATATGTACAATGATTTATTCTCTGCATTGAACTCTGACAGCTGACAAAAATATTCACTTTGTCATTTGTATTTTATTGTTGTGCTTGGCGTATTTGGAGACTGCTGGACAAGTTACCTTTGTTACTATTAGCTGTGCATTTACGTATCTCTTACATAACAAGTTAACATGAACTTAGCTTAAGCAACACAGATTTATTATCCCAGCTGTGCAGGTCAGAAGTCCAACGCAGGTCTTTCAGGGCTAAACTCCAGGTGCTGGGAGGTGCTGTTTTTTTCTGGAAACACTAAGGAAGATCCATTTCTGCGATCATCTGTGCTTAACAGAATTCAGTTCCTTGAAGTTTTAAGACTGAGATTCCTTTTTTGTTGTTGTTGTTCAGGGGATTGAACTCACGACTTCAAGCTTGCCAGGCAGGTACTTATGCAGCTGAACTAAATCCCCAGCCTGAGATTCCTGTTTTCTAGATAGCTGTCAGTCGAGTTGTTGTTACTAGAACCAGATTCTTCTGTCCAACTGTATTGTTTTCTTTCCCCTTTGATCACACTTGGGGTTGAACCCAGGACCTTGCACATGCTAGACAAGAGCTCTACGCTGGGCTACAGCCCCAGCCCTTTCTAAATTCTATTGGAGACACAGCTTTGCTAAATTGCTCAAGCTGGCCTTAAACTTGTGATCCCACTGCCTCAAGTAGCTGGGATGGCAGGCACACACCACCACGCCCCACCCAACTACATTTCTTTATTTGTGTTCTTTTTCCTCCACCTTCAAAGCCAAAAGTGGGAGGCTGAGCACCTCTCGTGCTCCAAATCAACTTTCTGCCTGCTGTCTCTGACCCACTGGACTGTCTTCCTTCTCCGTTTTCAAAGATTCAGGTGATTAGGCTACGCTCATTTTGACAATCCAGAATGATCTCTCCATCTCAAGGTTCTTAACCTTTATCATATCTGCAAAGTCCTCTCTGCCACATGAGGTAGGCAGTCACAACTTGTAGGATTACACTGAGGATAGTTTAGTGAGGTCACAGTGATATTATCTGTTTCTCTGATCTTTACATTTTAAAAATTCCCACTCAGAAGAAGTCACTTGACATCAGAACTTTAAGGTCAGTTTATTGTTGCATTCCAAAATAGCTAAATAATTTTTCAAAGTACTTCAAACATCTCAGAACTACTAATTAGTACTAGATATAACCATGATCTGAAGGCACAAAACAAAGTACACGACAGCCTCAGGACATAAAAGTCAACAGGCTACCTTTCTGCCACTCTTCATAGCCTGACACACAGGTGAGTAATAACACATTATACTTAAATACTGTGCTTTAGGGTTTTACAAGTGCTCTTGCGTCACTTGTCTCATTACTGCTTTATAATATCCCTGGAAGGCACACAGAATGGAAAAAATCTATCATTCCCCTTCTTACAGATAAGAAAAGTAACTTCAGAAAGATGAGATAACCTGCCCAAGTATGATAACCCTGTTAGATGAAAATGACACGTAAAAACAAACAAACAAAAAGAAAGAAAGTGATGCTTACAGAGGGATACACAGGGAAAAAACTCATGGATAAATAATACTTTAAAACAAGTAGGCTGCATGGGGGAGGCTGAGGCAAGAGGATAGCCAGGAGTTCAAGGCCAAGCTGAACTACAAAGCCAGACACTGTCTAAGAAAAAAAAAGCAGGTCACAATCTCCACAGAAAAAAAAATTTTACATTTAGAATCATAAAAAAGAACAAATACAAAACAAAATCAACAAATAATATTTGCTGATTTGATCTAAAACCATGTCTTGGTTACTTTTTTCTTTGTTACTGAAACAAAATACCTGACTCCCAAAATGAAGAAAGGAAAGGTTTTTTTAGCTCATAATTCATAGAGGTTTCAGTCCATACTCAGCTGGCTCCAAGACAGACTGGCACAGGGCAGGAGGCAGCCGTCCACGGCAGCAGGAGGCAGCAAAAACAGCAAAAGCAAAAAGGAAGAGCACGCAGAGAAGATTCTTTCTGCCCTTTATAGTGTATGCAGGCCAAATCCAACCTAGAGTGAGTATAGTACTCGCACCCATAATCCCAGCATTGGACCATGAATCAGTCACATACAAACTTGCCCCTATGACTGCACAAGGCTTAGGGGGGACATCTAGACACAAACAGTAACATTGTGCCCTGGCCCCCCAAGAACTCATGTACATCCTTCATGCAAAAGGCATTTAGTCCATCTCTAAAAGTTACCAAAATTTTAACATTTTCAGCATTATTGAAAAGTCTAAGTCCCAAGCATTTCCATTTCAAAAGGTACAAACAGGGGAATACAAAAGAATGGGACCAAAGCAAATCCAAAATATAGCAAGGCAAACATTAAGTCCTCTAGTTCCATGCAGAACATCTAAAGCAATCTGTGGTAATTTGTGAGCTCCAAAAGGCTTACATGACTCTGCCCCTATGACACTTCCAGTGATTGTATCTCCCATGGCTTCTCTCGTAGGCCTATTCTGCTCAATCCTTGCAGCTTTCTTTAAATGATCATGTTCCTGACTTCTCCAAACTTCTAGAGTCTCCACTGCACTTTTGGCTTCACCCTTGAAGCTTCCTTCATGGCCCTCTAGGGGGCACACTGCCTGGCCTCTCAGGCCTCCTTCTGAAATCTGGGTGGAAGCCTTTTTAACCTCAGAACTCTTGCATTCTGCATGCAACTAAAAACCAGTGCCATGTGGGTGATGCCAAGGTTGACTGCCAGCTGGAGCAGGACCAGGCTTCCCTCTCTTTTGGCAGTAGGTGTTGAATGCCTGGATCACTAGGCACTATGAACCTGATTCTGAGGGACAAATTCTCTATGCTACCACCATTTGGAAAACTGTTGCAACCACCACCATTCTGGAACATGGTGCTCTGCAGCTTTGTCCTCAAAGCAAAGTATTTCACTTTTGCAGTTTTGAGGCTGCAAACGATGGACACTTGCTGCTTCTTGTGATGCGCTTGAGCCATCTTTTCCATTGCCCTGCTCCTTCTCAACAATGGAGATTTCCTCAGCTCTATCTTTGAAGCTCACAATTTTACTTAAGCTTCCTTTCTGGCCAACTCACAACATTTTAATCATTCTTCTTGGGTCTGTGCTCTTGATTCTCAATGTAAATCTGGCTAAAAGCCCCTAATGATAGCCATGCCACAGCCTCAGCATTAGACTGTCCTGAAATTTCTTCTAGATTAATTAGTCTGCCATCCTTAATCTCAGTGTTGGACAAAATCTCTGGGCATGCACAAAATGCAGACCAACTTTCTACCAAGCCACAACATACATTGTCTGAACTCCAACAACCAATGCAATTCTTTTTCCAGCAGAAATCTCCCAAACCTGGTCTCTACTGGCAGTATTTCCATCAGCCTCTGGTCTCCTGAGCTCTAACCAGAATCTCCTATACAGAACATTCCAGCTCTACTCTTTCAGGTGATATCTCTGAACCTTTCCAAACTTTCCCCACAAGCCATGCCCAAAGTCTCTTGAACTACACAGTCAGGTACTGTTACAGCAATGACCTCACTTATTTAGCTCACAGTTTGTGGAGGTTTCAGTCCATAATCAGCTGGCTCCACGATAGAATGGCACATGACAGAGTGTCAACCATCCAGAGCAGCGAAAGACAGCAAAAGCAACAAAAGCAAGGAACGAGGAGCATGGAGAAGACTCTGTCCCTTATATTACATGTAGGCCACACCCACCCTGTACACTCACACTCATAATCCCAGCATTAAACATGAATCAGTCACAAACTCTGGAAGCTTACCACCATGACCACATGAGACTTTGGGAGGACATCTAGACAAAAATTATAACACAATGTAAAGGTTAAGGATTCTCTTTGAAGAAAATCAGAAATTAAGCACTTGTCTTTCAAGGTCTTCCACATCATGAAGTTATGTTTCTTCCATGATGTACCAAAAAAAAATATCCAAAGCAATAACAACAGAAAAAAACCAGGAGGTAATAAAAACACACTTCACCAGGTATGGTAGCACATGCTATAATGCCAGCACTCTGGAAGGCTAAGATAAGAAGATCACAAATTTAATACAAGCATGGGCAACTTAGTGACACCATCACAAAATTTTTTTTAAAATGTAAAGGTGAGGCATAGTTCAGTAAGAAGGCAAAGTTCAATCCCCAGTACCAAAAAAATGCATTATAAAGTAATTCTACCTGTCAAACTATGTCTATTTTATTTTATTTATTTCTTGGTACTGGGGATCAAACTCATGACTGCGTGCTTTCTAGACAGGCACGTATAGGGCTGTGTTAAATCCTTGGCCACCATGTCCATTTTAATAGAGAAAAACAAGAAACAGGAGACTATCAGGCCAAGTATTATGAATGCATGCAAAAAAACCTAAAGAATGTAAAGTCAGCAATTTTAGCTACCATACTGATGATAACCACACACAAAAAGGTGATCCTTTGTCCCTCTGGATTGTATTCTATTTACCAAAGATATAACACATTTTATAATCAATGGTTTTAGATTTCCAATGCTGCCCGCCCCAAGAATATCATACGAAATAAGACAACTCTGTCTGCCTCTATCCTGACTTTTGTCTTCCTTCTTTACCTTGCAGCTCCTGTTAGGGAGACAGGATGGTCAATCAGGTATTTGAATTTAGTCCTGTGAATGGGGTGCTGCCAGACCGCATCTACAGTGCGTGGAAGGGTACCCTGGGAAAAAGCAGAATCACATAAATGTCCAGCAGAGGGCGCACGAGTCAAATGAAACTTTTACTAATTTTGAATCTTTACATTAGGGAAATTTGAATACTCTATGGAACAAAGAAAGCAGAACTCATATTCAATAACATGGACAAAGACTGAAACGAGGATAATTCTGTAGTGAATGAAAATATTAAGACTAATGAGTAGTAGTAATTATTTTGATAAATTTGCATAAACACAGTTTATTGGAAATAAGCCTGGGAGATACTGGTGTAAAGTCCTAAGCCTTCAATCTAGAAAATTACTTTCAAAAATATTCTAAGACCTTTTAGAATATATAATATACACGTAACACAATGCAGCAGATAACAAAAAGATAAAAGTTCCCAACTACTCTAAATACACACACACACACACACACACACACACACACACACACACACACGCACGCACCGTTGGGGTTTTAACTTTCTTAGGAGGCAGTAAATTTTCAGGACAAGGACCGGCACTGGTTGCATAGGTCAGAGAAAGCAGAACTTCCTCAGGGATGAACTCATTCTGAAGGGATGTAGGAAGAGGTTTGGAACGATCCACCATAATTTTTTTCTCTCTTATCTCCGGAAGTCCTAAGAAAGTAACGAGAATGAAAAGCTCTTACTGTAGTTTTTCGGACGGAGCACCCTAGATGCCTCATCATTCTTGTCTCTCTGGGTGGTGTGGTTTTACCTTGTTTTGTTTTTGAGACAGAGTCACACTAATGTAGTTTAGGCTGGCCTGGACTCACTTTGTAGCTCAGGCTAGCCTCAGACTTGCTGCAATCCTCCTGCCTCAGCCTCCCAAGAACTGGGTTGCAGATGTGCACCACCATGCCCTGCATGTCTGTTTCTAAAAAAGAAGAACACTATTTCTACTTGACAAACAGTAGCAAGTAATACTTCAAACACTGCATAAGAGAAATATACGGCCTTTCCTATTCACACCATATCAAACACAGGTTCAAAACCTCAGGTACAAAGATAAACCTGAATTATGCCAAATTCAAAGTTGAAAATTACACTCATTTCACTTAATTAACTCGGATAGTCTTAAAATTATGGGAATGAACATCTATCTTTTCTTTGATGTGAAAATGATAAAAGAAATCTCTCTTCCAAAGTGTTAGATTAGGCTTGAGTGTGATGGCAATAGACCTTTAATCCCAGCACTCCGGAGGCTGAGGCAGGAGGATCCCTGAGAGTTCAAAGCCAGTTTGAGCCACTACAAAGTGAGTGCAAAGTCAGCCTGAATCACATGGTGAAACCCTGTCTCAAAAAGACAAAAAGCAAAACAAACTGCTAGATTACTCAATAATTTTTCCTTAAATAAAATAAAATAAATAAGACACACTTGTACAAACATTGTATTGTCTCAATAGTGTGAGAAGCTGAAAGAAACAACATATGTATATGTATATATATGTGTACAAAAAGATAGTTATACTACTTATTTCTCTGAGTTCACTGAAAGGAAAGATTTGTGCTGGTATTATTCAGATGATTGAATACAGATGTCTTGTGCTCTGGGTGAACAGTTTAGGGATGACAGTGCGCAATGTACATACCATTGTTGCCCCATGATTGATGAGTTTTCAAATTTTGTTTTACTTTTTTCTTTTCTTTTCTCATTGAAGTAAAATGGATTTGAAAAAAATTATTTTCTTATATCAAGTTAAAGGTAAAAATAATTGATTCGAATCGAGGTTGGAAGGGATTCAATTTGAGTTTAAAAATAAAAGTAGGAACTGGAATATATCTCACAATAGAGTGCTTAACTTGAATGCACAAAGCCCTGGGTTAAACCTCCAGCCTCTCCTCATAAAAAAAAATAAAATTAGAACGGGGATGGTTGGAAATTATGAGTGGAACAATCTGAGCAAATCAATGCAGTAAAAACTATAAAAATGGTTCTACTCAGCTTAGGTAGGGCAGAAGAATGAAAAAAGTGGGTAGGAGGACTAATATTGGAAAAGGCCTCATTATTTCAGTCAAGTAGAGTTGGGTTGCCACCATTCTTAGTGCTTTCCACAGATATGGTTTACTATGAGGAGAGAAAGACATTATCTTTTTCATTTTCAATGATTCGGGGGATTAGGCTGGATTCACTTTGACAAACCAGGATAATTTCTCCATCTCAAGGTCCTGAACCTTCAGCACCTCTACAAAACCCTTTTTGCTACATAAAGTATGTAGTCACAAATTCTGGAATTACAATGAGAAAGAAAAAGGGGAGAGAAGTACCAGGTGAGACCTTAGCAAAATCTCCCCTAAAAAGCCCTGAGTTTCTCCCCTAGGGAAAATGAGTTTAGACAAAACTTTGGCCTAAGAGGGATATGGATGATTTTAGCTGAATCTTACTGTAGTAAGATCTATCTCTGTATCTATATCTATAGAGCTACTATGTATTGAAGATTTGGACGCAGGGCCTAGCTGAGCTACATCCCCAGCCTTTTTTATTTTTTAATTTTGAGACAAGGTCTTGCTAAATTGCCAAGTTTGGGCTCTAATGTACCATCCTCTTGCCTCAGTCTCCCAGAGTGCTGGGATTAATTACTCTCACTTTAAAAAAACCACTAAAACCCTATTTTGTACTAACTTGCATGCTTATCCTATTTCCACTATTTTTTGGTTTCGCTTTGGAGATAGGGTCTTACTGTACAACTCAGGCTGGCCTTGAGTTCACTATGTAGCCTAAGTTGGTCTCAAACTCATGATCCTCCTCCTACAGCTGAGTACTAAGGTTGTAGGTGTGCACCACCAAGCCTGGCTTCTCTACTATTTTTTACAATTCCTTAAAGTCAGAATTCAAGTACCAAAAAGATGCTATTCCATATGACTCTGTAAAATACAATGGGTTTAAAACTCATTAGTATTTGAAAACAAAACCTAGAGACACAGTCCTTAGGTGGAGAAATGAAACAAGACTCCAAACAAAAGTATGGCTTTTGGTCTACACAAACAAATGTGTCAGAAAAGAAATGTATTTAAACCAAGCATGATGACATAAACCTGCACTCAAGAGGCTAAGGCAGAGGATCACTTGAACCTGGGAGCTGAAACTGCGTCTCAGAAGAAAGAAGGAAAAGATATGGATATATATATATATATATATATATATATATATATATATATATAATAGATTGTGACTTGTCAATGTCTGTTATTTGGCAAATGTGGGAGTGTTGGTATGGGGGATTGAACCGAGGGCCTTTGCACAGAGCTGCACAGTGTCTTGCTCAGTCGCTAAATTGCCTAATTTAGCTCAGTCAATAAATGGACTGGAATTTAGGATTCTCTGGCCTCAGCCCCCAGTGTGCTGGGATTACAGGCACAGGCGTGTGGCACTACACCCAGCAATGAGTGTAATTATTTGTCTTTGGGACCCTTGAAGTTTACCTCTTGTCTCCTGGACTGCAGATACTTTTGACTTTTTTCGCTCATATGATGCTGGGGAGCTTAATGGCGAGGGTGCTGTTTTCGGGAGAGACATGATAATGCTTCCTATTGCTCTTTTTAGTAACGTGAAATATTCCTCCAGAAAGTTAAGTCAGAAATAAATCAGTGTGACACTGGCACTTTCAGGGCCCTACATTGTCCTAGAGGCAAAACAAAACACAGAGACACGTTAAAATGCTTATGTTTCGATCGGGGTCTCAATTCATTTAGCGTGGTTTTCCTTCTTTCGGAGACCTCAGTGACCTCGCAGCTTATCTGATGTGACTTAAGGAGTTTGTGAGTGCGTCAGGGTCCGGAGGAGACCAGGAAGGGCACACCCCTCCACCCTCCCGTCGTCCCTACACAGGCCGCCCGCAGCTGTGACGCGGTCCGCTCTAGGAAGGTCAGCTCGGGACCACAACCTTCCCCACAAGCAGTGCCCTCGCGCGCGACAGCTCCATGGACTGGGAGATCTGACAGGGCGAAGGCTCGCATCGTTTCTTCGTTTAAACCGACGGGAAACGGACACTTGCAACCTGTTACCAGCAAATCGAATTTCCCGCCGGGCGCTTGAGGACGCCTTGCGTTGTCATGGAAATCCAGGACCCCGGGCCCTCGTAACCCTCAGTAGAAGCTGCCTTCGGCGGTGCCGGCGGAGAAGAGGCACAGTGAAAAATAATCTTCTATCTTTCTCCGGTTTTCAATGAGTATTAAGTCACAGCATATGTTCAGTAGAAATAGAGAAGAAAAATGATTAATTGGGCCATTATCACGGAATTCCAGGGTCTCGATACCAGGGCTATGGACCAGCAGGCGCCAGCGGGTTCCCCCGACGAGAAACTTTAGTGGCCTGCTCCGGATTTGACCAACAGCTTTTGAGAACTTGTATCTTTCTGTCCTTTCTTCTTTGTGTGTATTTTGCATGTTTTTCTAAAAGACAGATTCGTGTGAATTGCGTCACCGAAAGCTCTGACTTCCAGTCAGTCGAGGCTTTCGCCTGAACGTTGGCACTGTGTCACAGTTCCTTAGTGACACGTTCGCCTTTCCCTAAGCCTGAAAAAAAGCACTGCTAGCCCCCATGCCGCAGGGAAGAACCCGGCCCGAATCCTGGGCCGTCACGCTTAAAAACCGACTTCGAGGGCACTAAGATCAGTGTATTTGCACCTAGCTGAGCCCACGTTCCCACTCCGCATCTGGCCACCTGTCCTTTCCCCGGAGCGCTCCCAGATTGCGTGCAAGGGGTCATTTCGTGTTAAGGCTAATTTTTAATTCCAAGTAATGTCGGTGAAATTTCATCATCTTGTTGCCTTTACTCTAGAAAATGAGCTTAAGAAAACTTACTCAGTCGTCATATTCATTAGTACAAAGTTAGTGGTCAGACACGCCTTAGTATTGCTCTTGAGTGTCAGTTTTATATTCACAGAATTAAGGCTCTGGTTTCCAAACTAATGGCAACGAGAAATATGGACAAAGGTTTCAAAACAGCAGTTAGGAACAAGTTCTCAAATGACCCTTGATTGTACAGACCACAGAAGTCTTGCTCAGCGGAAAACCTGGGCCTGAACTTTTTTTTTTTTTTTTTTTCCTGAACTTCTTTTTAAGGGCTGGTAAGCATGGGTGAGCAAAGGGTTAATTTCCTCCAATTTGTTGTCCCTCTTCCTCCTCACTGGTGTCACCTTATAGTTTGGAATCAAAGGCACTATAGAGCTTCAGAGGTCCCAAAATTGCAGTTTCAGTCCATGCGGTTTTATCAAGCCTTTAGGTACTAGAAGAAAAAAGAACCTTTTACATTCTTTTAACCCAGTTCAAAAATTTCTAAGTAGGGTATTAGTAAAGAGAAATAAATGAACACACTCAAAAGATATAGAAAGTAACATCTGTAGAATTTGGGAAGTGATTGATCTGTAATGTGAAGATGATGACATTAGAGATTACTTCTAGTGCACTTAGTGGTGGTGCCCTGGCAGTCCCAGCATCTTGGAAGTCTGAGACAAGGGCATCACCTGAGCCCAGGAGTTGGAGACCAACCTAGGCAAAAGTAACACACCATCTGGGGAGAGGGGAGGGGTTACGTTTTGTTTCTGTTCTGTGCAAAAGTATGCGAACGTACACACCATTTACCGAGAACAGGAATAAGAAGGTTCAGTGTTAAGACTTGTTAGTTGCTAGTACTATTGAGACATCCAGGTGAAAATGGAAGGTAACACATATGGATCTGAAGATCTCAGCCAAAGGCCGTGTTAAAATAGATAACATATACATTACAAAACTACCACCGTTAAAGATTACAATTGTTATTCTTGGGCAAGCTCTACTGTTACAGAAACTCTTCCCATCACTGTACCAAGCTATTAGTGGGAAACTGGCCCCTTAATTCCTTGGTCCTTTCTTTTTAAAGAATTCAGTCAAGACACATAGGTGCAGAAGTATAGGTAGAATTTATTATAAAGTGGATATAGAAAATTATGCCTTTAAGTAGAAGGCATTTGCACTGAGTATGAGTTTCGTACTAGGTAATTATGATACCAACACTTTACTTAGTTACTTTGGAATTGCAAAATGTCTTCGTGTCCTTTTAAATGGTCAGCTTCCTCAAGGGCTTTTACTTATACAAGGAATTTTTTTTTTTTTTTTTGTCTTTTTCCTTTTTATTGGTACCAGGGATCGAACTCACGACTACCTGCTTGCAAGGCAGGTGCTTATGCCGTTGAGCTAAATCCCCAGCCCCTTATACAAGGAATTTACAAAACCAAATTTGATGGGTTAGGAATTTAGCTCAGTGGTAGAGCACTTGCCTAGCAAGCACAAAGGCCCCGAGTTGGAACCTCAGCAAACCCCCACCCCAAAAGGAAAATCAAAAGGTCATTTCTTTTTTTTTTTTTTTTTTTATCGGTACTGGGGATCAAACTCTGGGCCACACACTTGCAAGGCAGGCACTTATGCTGCTGAGCTAAATCCCCAACCCCAAAGGTTACTTCTTAATTTAAACCAAGCCCAGCCCAGGGTAGAAGGGTCTATACTAAAAGAACATTTTCTTCCCTGTGTTATTGGGCTGTAGTCTTTGGCAGCCAGGAATGCCTTATGCCTTGTTCTGGAATGAGACCAGGTGGCCCACCATCAGAAGAAATGTGTTCCCATATAAACTTAAAATGTCATTGTGCTCTGTGGGACTGCTTTGGGAGTGAGGCCTCACAAATGGTTATAAATGTATTAAATATCGGTATCTTTCTTTACTTAACTAGGAATGTATTCTATTTTAGATCCCCACCTACACTTTTGTCCCTAATGGCCACTAGCATTTACCTGCTTGGCCAACAAGAGAACCCCAAAATGGAGTAAAATATTGAAGTCTTTGATGAAAAAATACCATAACAAAATGTAAGATAAACAGATTAAGAATTTTAATCCCTGTAATTCCAGCAAAGAGGCTGAGACAAGAGGATTATAAATTTGGTGCCAGCCTGGACTACAAGTCAAGTCCGTCTTAAAAAAAAAAAAAAACAGAACATTAACAGTGGGGCTCATCAATAAACCTGCAATAGGACTGTAGTTATAAATAGGGCTATTTTTGCTTGTTGGTTTTGGCTGACTCTTATAGCTGCTTTAACATCAGAAGAAAGACTGTGTGATTACTAAACATGCCTTGGGGGTGGTTGGGTGGGTGTGTTTTTATACCAATCTGCTTTGTACCAACTCATTTTCTAAGCCATGGGAACAGGCATTATTATACACACATCTGTAGGCATTGAAGAGCATGCAACACTCCTTGAAGGAGTATAAGTGGGCAGTAAATCAGTATTTGTATTTAGTGTAGTTTTAAAATGAATGTATTATCAATTTTCCAAAGGTGACACTAAGACAGGAAATCTAGGCACTGCTCAGCCAAGCACTTACTGAGGAAGAATAGCTTCTAGTGTAACTTCTACACAAGAAGGGATACACTGAAATGATGCCTTTGCACGTTGGATTGTTTTTGATATTTTACTGTTTTTGGTTTTTGTGTGGTACTGGGAATTGAACCTAGGGTCTCACGCATGCTATCAAAGTATTTTAACACTGAGCACACCCAAGCCCAGTGTCAAGTGTGCCTATGGGAGGGAACAAATAGCTTTTGCCTCATTCAAACATATCTTCAGTGCACAGCCCAGTATGACAACAACACTGAATAAATTCATTTTTCATTGCACAAATTGGGTTTCTACAAACAGTAAATTCATAGTCATGCCAACCTTGGTAATTTAAAAACTAGTATACCAATTATATAAACCAGATGCATAAACTTGAGTCAAATGCAAGCTTTTGAAGTAAAAACCTTGACAACTTTCATTAAGAAAAACTGCCAAACTGAAGTCCAACCAATGGCATGTTTAATTTCTAAAGGGACAGTCTCTTTCCTCTGTCTCTTGGGAAACAGGTGGGTCTAGTTAGGTCACAGAAGGTAACTAAAGAGTACATGGTGCGTATTGGTGACACGTTTCAGAAGGAAGAGTGCTGCAACATCAGGGACAAAGCACAGTGGGCCTGGTCACCATCACCAGCATAAGTGGCTTCTCTGGAGGAAGACTCTTGGTTACATACTGTAACACGTTACCCGAAACTGGGCACTCTGTAGAGAACAGACATACTTCTCAGAGTTCTAGAGGATGGAAAAGAACAAGGTGCTAGTAGGTCTAATGGGTTGGTAAAGGATGTGTCTGGAGAGGTTAATACTGTGTCCTCACACAGCAGGAGAAAGGGCAAAAAAGCCAAACCTAAGGGAAGCCTCTTTTAAAGGGCCTTAGTCCACTCATGATGGAGACGACTGCAAGGCCTACTCACCCCTTAGAGGCCCCGGTTCCTCCGATTAGCACACTGGCAGCAGCTGAATCTTGGCAAAGTCATATCTGTACCATATTTGAAGCAGGGAATTGGCTCTTGCCAAACTATCCCTCCAGCTTTGTCATAAAAGGCATAAAGTTACTTTTGAAGCTTTAACTCCATTCCTCCACTGGAGGAAAAGCATGGATTTCTCCGAATGACACATTTACAAATTTCAGGCCAAGAGCAAAAGGAATCAAGCAACCAATAATGACAATAGAAGGTGAAAATTAGTGTCACACCAAACAGCCCCCACTGGACCCTGTATTTACTCCTACTATCTATCCATGGCGCTCCTTCATCAGCTGGACAAGAAAGTCCTGTGCAGCCAGCTGGGGAGAAGCAGCAAGGGAACCTATATGCAGTGGGGTCCTTGCTAGCCAGGGAGAAGGAGCAAGGCCAGCAGCTCCTACCCTACACATTGGTGGAGCCCACGCTGCCTGGGAAGAGCCAGCAGACGCTGTGCAGCCCCATGTGGTGTGGGGTACAGACTGCCCTGCTAGTGGAAGGACCAGCAAGCCAGCTGCCTCTGCTGCACTCCTCCCCCCACAGGCAACCACATGCAACACAAGCTGAGTTGATAGGGAAGCAACCTGACCTTTGTGTTGTTTGACTTTGCAAGCCTGGGCCTGGCAGTCTGAGCAATTATTTGAAGGATAACAATATGCAACACAGTAACAATTGTGGATTTTCTACTGTCCTATTTTGTTGCATTTGACAGTTGTTTTCTCTTTTTTAAAAAAATTCTTGTGCAGTTGTTTGCCTTCTCTTTTGGCCATAGTCAGCATATAAAGTTGCCTGAGATTAGGATGAAAAGCATTTATGAATACAAAATCAAGTTAATATTGGATACGCAGGGCTCAGGGATTTAGCTCAGTAGTACAAGCGCCTGCCAGGAAAGTGCAAGGTTGTAAATTCAATCCCCGGTACACACAAAATATTGCATACACAAAAAACTGCTTTCACGCTGGGCTTTGGTGGTACACACCTGTAATCCCAGCACTTGGGAGGCTGAGGCAGAAGGATCATTTCAAATTCAAGATCAGCCTGGGCTACATAGAAAGACCTTATCTTTATAAAAATAAAAAACAAAAGGTTTTAAAACAGAGACTAGGAGCTAGGGATATAGCTCAGTAGCACAGCATCTGCCTGTCAAATGTGAAGTCATGAGTTTGATCCCTGGTACAAAAAAAAAAAAAAAAACTAGATTTTTTTCCAAATATATTATCACATTCTTCACATATGCAATACCACTTTGCATGTATGCATCTTCAAACTTCAAAAATTACAGTAATGGTAATACAATGAATACTAAACAAATACATCACATCAGTGGTTAAGTAAATAAGGATTTGCAGGGCAGAGGAAAGAGGAATTAAAGAGCAAACAAGAATGAGTTAGAAAAGACTTCTCTGGTTGTTGGATTTTGGACTTCAGTGACCCTCCCACTGCTCTCAGAACACCACACATCAGTGCACAAGTGGAGAGGACAAACAGGAGCTGCTGCACTGACCCAAGTGGCAAAGCTGACGGGGGCTTTTAGCTCTCTTTCCACCCACAAACTGGCACATGGGTGCCTGGGACTTAGAACTATGTTTTGAAATGACTGGGTGAATGAACTGCCTTTTCAACTGGTTTTTAAAACAAAATACAGCTCCCATCTCCTTAAAACACAGCACCACAAGACCATGGTGCAGAATCTATTAGCTTGAAGGTTAGCACCCCATGGGAAAGGGCATACTGACAGCAGCAATGTAAATGTAAACATGAGTATTTAGGAAAAAAAGAACGCAGAATAGTATTATTCTAAAACATTAACTTCTGAAATTAACCCATTGTTTTTTTTTTTTCAAGCCCAACCTGGCTATTAAAAAGCCTCATAAGTTATGTCGCCACACACCTGTACTCCCAGATACTAAGGATGCTGTGAGACCAAATACCTTGAGCTCAGCGGTTCAAGGCCAGTAAAAGGAGTTCCATGATCCGTGTTTCCACACTAGTCATATCTTCTCTATAGAGTGCAGTTATATGTAGTGTCTTATTGTAACTGTATTACCTGATAGAACTTCAGTGATATTAAAAACTAATCAGACCTTTTTAGAGTGTCACTAACAACCTTCATTATATTTCTCAAAATATTTATGTCCCAGTTTCCTTCAATTTCACAGCTATAAAGCCTAGAAGACATAAGAATGTCTAAGACAGATCTTTGTTAGTATGTGTATATATAAACTACAAGAAATTTTGCAAAACACTAGTAAGCAAAAAATTTAAACTTTATCAACAAAGGTCTGAACTATCTTCCATCAAGTGTATTATCTTCCAAGACTGTAAGCATTCTTTACATTGGCAGAAATGAAAACTTGTTAGGTTTCTACGTCCCCATAAATTCTACATCTTAGCTGTAAAATACATACACTAGTTCCAAACACTTGATTTAAACACCTAGGTAATAGCACCAATATTTTTAGAAGTTTGCCACTCTAAAACTAAAGCAGATATATCTGAGAGCAATTTTGAAAAAAATGGAAGCACCTGTTGAGTGCCTATAACAATCTTTTAAAAATGACCAGGTAAATTGCATTATGGGAGAACCTATCAGGGTGCAATCTTATTCACAGCATATTAAGCATCTACTTAACGCATATATTCTTGGGAGTTTGTAGCATTTGAAACATTTGGATTTTTAAAAAATACCAGTAATGATTCAAGCTTCAGATTTCTGATGAGTAAGAAAATAATGAATTCATATTTCTGCCAGGGGTATTGCTTGCTATAATCCTATGAAGTAGTTTAATCCCCATTTTACAGATGAGGAAACTTCTGGCTCTGATAAGCAACTTTAACCTAGTTCACATTGCTAATGAATACCAAAGCTACCTTAATGAAAATCCTGTGCTTTCTTTTTACTGCAGTATTGGTTTTCAAACAGAGTATTCTGGGATACAAGAGTTAAATATACTAAGCAAGAACTGCTGCAGGCCCACTGCACCTAGTTCAACCTGAAGAACATACACTGTGTCTGTTTTATGTGCTGAGCGTAAGCATAACTAATTTTATTTTATTTTAGAGTTTTTTTTTATTTAAAGAGAAAAAAAGGACATAAAAAAAGCAGTAAAAGGGTATAATACAAAATTTCAAGAAAAAAAATATACAGTAAGAAATCACTAGTTAATAGGTTACATATTGTCTTCCTAGAAACAATTGTCCAAATTATAAAATTAAAAGTGGACATTCATACAGTGATATTGGAGACAGTTCCATTCAATGATCCAACAAAAGCTCAGTAATATGGTTTTCCATCCTACCCACTCAAACATACCTGCGGTTATATCCCTCAGTCCACCTTCCTTTCCTCTCTTTTTTACAATAACAATTATACTTTTTGGGTTTTATTACTCCCACAGTTCTTATTACTTTTTTTGAAGAGAATAAAACCAAATGTGACTAAGCAAAACAGAGTCAGAACAAAAGGGTGAGCATAGTACACGATGCAAAAATAGAATACCAGGTGATCAAAAGTGGTTACCATTGTGCCTCTTGCTATTTTTAAATTGAGTTGCCTATATCATTAGGTATAATAGAATTGATCAAAACAGTACAGAACAAGACCAATAAAACCTACACTGGAGACCTTACAGGACTTCAAAAAAAGATAACAGTCAAACCATAACGGGCATTATAGTATATCTTATTGCCTTCAAAGTGGTTGCCTATACCCTCAAACTTGATACTATCAAACAAAATAGAATATAGAATAATTAGACAGAACAAGATGGGGAGAACAATACTGGGGTTCAAATTAGGTTAATAGGAAAACAAAAAAGTTACTATAATATGTCCTATTTTTAAATTTAGTTTTCCCTTAAAAAAATTCAAGAAAATATTGAGATAAAAGGGGACATTGTAACAGAACAACACAGGTCAGAACCGAACAATTTAAGCATCATTGTGTTTCACCACCAGATAATCTAACATAATGGTAGTAGCCATAGTGCCTCTTTCCTTGAATTATTTGAGTTTAACTGCATATGCTATAGCATCTAGCATATCAAGACAGTGTGAAGTCCTTCAAGAGAATGAAAGAATTACAGGGTATTTAGAACCAGCTAATAGAAAACGAACAACAGTTTCTATATTATCTCTTTGCCTATAAAAAATTTTGTTTATACTATTGCATATAGTGAAATATAGTAAGATACAACATGTTAAAGCCAGTGAAAACAGATGTACCACAGCTTGATGGGACTTCAAAACAAGATGATATTAAATCAGCACTAGCTTTTATGTTGTGTTGTTTTCTTCAAAATAGCTATTCATATTATCACAGATACCAAAACCCAACAACCCAGGTTAAAATCATTGCAATTAATGAGTGAAAACATTATATGGCTTCAAACCAATATGACTGGGAATCATGATTACCACATACTTTTATGTATTCTTATCATTTCTTACACTAAGGAAACTATTCAAGCATAACTAATTTTAAAGATGATTCCATAACTAAAAGTAAATAACTAGACTGTAATCAGAGCACTTCATTACTACTTCTTCCCCAAGAAACAACCAGACTTTACTCAAAATTATTTATAGCCATACCTGACTTTTTTTTTTTTTTTTTTTTTGGGCATGAGAGATCTACCAACAACTAACCATATCTTTTTATTACTTTTTGTTTGCTTTAAGACAGGATTTCACTATGTAGCTCAGGCTGGCCTCAAACTTGCAGTGATCCCCCTCAACCTCCCAAGTGCTAGGATTATAGGTATGAACCACTACACCTCTACCTCTATCTTCTTAGAAGAGGTGGACCAAATGAGCAACTCTGAAATATACAATGTTTTCCATAAATCCTTATTAAACATTATTTTCAAACAAGTATATCTTAAAATTACAATGAAAATTTTCACTGAATTAACTTGTTCTATTATAAAATACTGTTTGCAAATATAATTACTATTTATACATTATCTCTGCCAACCCTCCCCCCCGCCCCCCTGGGATGGAACCTGGGACCCTGGGCATACTAGGGACATGCTCCTGGCACAGAGCTACATCCCCAGCTAATTACACTGCACTTTTGTTTGTTTTGAGACAGGGTCTCACTATGTAATTCAAGCTGGCTGTGAACTCACTATATTGCCCAGGCTGGCTTCAAACTTGTAGTCATCCTCATACCCTGGCCTTCCGATTGCTGTGATTACAGGCCTATACCATCATACATTACTGTATTTTCATAGAATGGCAGTGTCACAAACTTTTACCTGGCAAATACTGGAAAGGATTAAAATTTTGCCTCCAAAATTATTAGTCAATTAATATTACTGTTACCTACTAACAGGTTAAAAGCAGACTCAATTTTTCTAATTATATTCTAACATGAAGGAAGCAATTTCATGTAGACAATTTTGGTACATTAATCTGCCACCAACAGACCAGCACTTCCATTCTGTTCCCCATTATCTAGGACTGAGAATAAAAGACATTTGATGCTATATATCTCATACAAAAAGGTACTAAAAAATCAAAGAAAAAAATCAAATGATAGGTCTAGTAAATGAAGTGAAATACTGTATATACTACTTAGTTGTTTTCTTATGATCATCAAAGAGTACAGTCACTATCATTTATATTTCTTACAAAAAGAAAATCTAAATTCATTACTTTTTTTTTTTTTTTTTTACCGGTACCAGGGATCAAACTTACGACCGCGTGCTTGCAAGGCAGGTGCTTATGCCGATGAACTAAATCCCCAGCCCTAGTGCATTACTATTTAAAAGGAAAGTATTTTGCAACTAAAAATAATTCTCACCGTATTAGAAAAATAGGAAGATACAAATGAATTTTCCTGAAACACATGAGCAAGAGATTTTACTTTTTACTTAAGAAGTTTATGTGATGCTCTGAAGGAAAGACTTTGCTAAAGGCAGCTAGCAATATGACTGGGTTTACCAAAAAATTTCTGACAAGTGGCCAGGTCTTTGTTATGTGATTCTGAAAGTTTCTTAGAATTCTATCAGTTTATAGTCCTACATATATCACTCATTACCACTTAAAATCTTGGCAGAAAAATCAAGTGACAAAGGAGAACAGGTTTTATTTATTTATTTATTTACGGCTTTAATCAAAAGCGTGCAGTGCTGTATCCCAATAATCCCGGAATTTAGAGAGGCTGAAGCACGAAGCTTAAATTTATTAAATTTATTTATTAAATTTGAGCCCAGAATGGCAATTTAGTAAAACCTTATCTCAAAATTAAAACTGAGTAGCCAGGCGTGGTGGTACATACCTGTAACACCAGCACTTAGAAGGCTGAGGTAGGAGGATCACTGTGAGTTCAAGGACAGTCTGAACTACACAGTGAGAATTTGTCTTTAGAAAAAATAATAAAATAAACATTTAAAAAATGAAATAAAAGGAGCAGGAATGTAGCTCAATGTTAGAATGCTTCTGGGTTCAATCCCCAGTAATACATTAAAAAAAAATTTTTTTTAAAAACCTTGCATAGGGGGCTGGAGGTTTAGCTCAGCGTCATAAGCGCCTGCCTTGTAAGCAGGCAGTCGTGAGTTCGATCCCCGGTACCGATATAAAGGAAAAAGACAAAAAAAAAAAAAAAAAAATCCTTGCATCAGTCCAACAAATACAGTATTCAGAATCACTATAGAACAAAGTCCTCTCATAAGAATGCACATTTATAATAGTAACAGAAATATACCCCTAAAAATTCCATTCTCTTGCTTCAAAAGATTGGCTAATTCATAACCAACTCTTAGAACTATTTATTTTTTCATTATTTTTCAAAAGTAGTTAAATTCAAATGACTGACTCATCCTAATTTTCAGGAAAAAAATGCCAGAATGCTGTTGGCAGTTACAGCTTTACTCCATTTATGGTACTGTGCAGAATATACTTACTGGAGACACAACAGAATATCCATTTAAAAATAACCCCTCTTGGGGCGCATGTGTGTTGTTGATGTTTAAAACTTCCTCAGCTATCTGGATCAAAGGTATGGTGAATAAAAAGGATGATTCAGCCAGATGCTTGTGATCCACATTACATGTGGTTATTACAAAACTAGATTATCTACTTGGGAGACTCTAATTGTCTTTAAAAAAAATTCTGCAAAACTTCCCAAATCCAAAAAAGTCAAGTAGCTGCTCCAATTAGGCATAACTTTGAATAATTCATAAATCTCACTTCTTTGGGTAGAAAGTTGATTAATATGGTCTCTGACATCCCTTCTAGCGCAGTCTTTACAAACATAAGCATACCTCATACAGACAGACAAAATAACCCCTACCTCCCACCCTGTATTCAGAGTGGGTATCTTATAACCTGGATATACCACAAACAGAACAGTCCCTTAAAAATAATCATATACTAATTTCCTTAAAATAATCACATCCTAATTTGTATCATCTAAAAATATCACACCATTAAAACCGTAACAACTGAACAAATAATTCAGAAGCCAGCTTCTGGATCCTTAATGATTACTTGAATATTAATGAAAGTGATTAATTCTTATGTTACAGACTCACTAGTCTGCAAAATAATTGAAGTCAGTATTTATTAGACAATAAAATAACTGTACCAAAGCATACTTCTAACTTCAAATAAGTTAAAAAAATCTTCTATGTAAATTACATGATAAATTAGTTTGAACACATAATTAACTCAGCAAATCTTTTAAAAAATTATTTAGAAGTTGTAAGAGCAAAATTTTTTTTATCCTGTGCACTTCATTTTCCCTTCCTACTGACCCCCTCCTCAATATATTTATTACTATAGATACAAACTCAAGAATTCAAGGGAAAAGACAGTTAATTGCTTCACAAAAATTGTGGCCTAAATTGCACAGAGAAGGAAAAAAAGCTGAATAGATTTGAACTTTAAAAGCAATTCAAAGTAAGGTACACAATGAGATTATCTTTGGAAAATAGATTACTTTCCCTTTCTACTAGAAATAGCAAAAACTGTTACATGTTATTTGTCTTCTCCAATTGCATGTTTAATTAGCATAACGTCCAACCGTGTGCATAGAAAAAAATTCTAAGGCAGATAGATGCACTTACTGATTTTACTCTTCCTAAGTGTTTTTCGATAATTCACTGGCCAAAAAAAAAAAAAAAAAAAAAAATGAATGTTTAGATTTTGAGTGGAGAGTCATGAAACAGACAATAACCAGGGTTTAAGATGAGATGACCCAGCAAAAAATCTGTCATAACCTCAGCTACAAGTCTCCCTTCTCCCAAAAAAGATAAAGTTAAGAAGAAGAAAAAGAATACAAGAAATTCAGTGGGCTTTGAACAACCCAGCTTCAGGTGGACTAGGAATGGAATGAGTCACAATGTGCTGCGAAGGCTGGAGTGGTCCCAACTTCAGTAACAGCTGGAAACAGGATGGCCCCGAATCAGGCAGAACGTTCATATCTTCAGTGACAAAGAAAGAAATAAAAGGCCAGTCTTCTAAAATACATATCGACAAGTCCAGGAACGTGGCCGGACATAATCCAGAAATGTGGGCTGTGACAGAAAAAAGAAGAAAACAGAAATGGTTTATTTGTGTTCACTGTGTATGAGGCATGGGGAGTAGACAGGGGTGTCAATCTTACATATGGTATATTTATAGGTTTCCTCTTAGCATTTCAGTAACCTTTAAGTTACAACAAGCTCACTAATCAAAAGATAGCATTTTTATTTCAACTTAGAGCCTTCCATGAAGTTTTTGAAGTTCAATAAACTAAACAATTGCATGGACTCCTGACCAAATTCCAAATAGGTACTATCTCTCTTGGCATACTGTGTTCCTATTTTAGCACAAAACTACTTATTTGACCTAAAATCTAAATAGTGGAAGGATAATGATGATAAAATATGTACACAAAAGACTAATGCAACATGTGATTTTAAATTACTTACTTAACTATTTAAAGGAGAAGCAGATTAAAGAGAATCAAAGTTCAGAAACACAAAAGATGGGAGCAAGAATTTGAAAAAAGCTTCGTGAAAAATATAGCATTCAGACTGAATTTGACGGGATAGTAACATCTGACGTGGAATCTGCGTGAAGAACAGCACGTTAGCTGAATATGGTAGTGCATGCTTGCAATTCTAACACTTGGGCAGGGTAAGAGGATCACAAGTTCAAGTCTATCCTAAGGAACTTAGCAAGATCCTGTCTCAAAATAAAAGGATCAGGAATGCAACTCAATGCAAAGGCCTCTGGGGTCAATCCCCAGGACACAAAAAATAAAAAATAAAAAAGAGGGAGAGAATACCATGACCACAAACTCAAATTAGTTCAGATATACAACCTCAATTAGTTTAGATACACAAAAGGATCAATAGGAAATAAGACACAATTAAAGCTACATAACAAAGACTCTGTATAGAAAAAAAAGAAATGCACAGGAAGAACCTGATTAATCTAATTTTTATCTATAAGTGCGAAGAAAAAACACCCAAGCAGATACATGAAGAAGGCACCTCAAATTTGGGAGTTATCTATGGACAGCTAAAAAATAAACCTCTAATAAAAAATGAAAACTGACCATAATTATGAAAAAGAAAAAAATAAAGCAAAACAAAAAGGATCAAGGGAAATAGAATCCTACCCTATCAATGTTGTCTGACAATTTTATGCGTTTATTACTTGGAGAAAAAGGTGAAATGTATACATTTATGTTTAGGTGATAGGAACATATTTGCTATTGGGAAAACTCTGGAGAATACCTAGCTTTTTAGGCAACAGGAAAAAAATTAGAAAAGACTTAAGAAAAAGCTAAAAAGGAGTAAGAAATAAAACCACTTATTAGGTAAATTCAGTTTGAACCAAAAAAGGGAGAAATTTCAAGGAAAGCAAAATAAGATCACATAATAAACTTTTTATTTCATAGTTCCATCCTTTTGCCAAAGTCACCATAATCTCACTATCCTACTAACATGATCCACCAACCCCTTCAGGGGACAAGTAAGTGTGCATTCCAGTTGGATTTATTGACTCACATTTTTCAGAGGACAGTGTTGACGTGCGTACCATTCTTGAGAATAAAAGCAAACAAGCACTCCCTGGCCCAAGAAAAGGGAAGCCCACACCATAATGTTCCAAATCGGCCTTTTCCGACTATCATTGACAATGAAGTTGAAAGCCACTAAAAATAGGAGAAAACATATTATCAAAACAGTGCATCAGATGAAAAGCCTCAAATATCTGCTGTCATCATTTAATCATTATGGCGAGCATCAACTGTTTATGTATGTGTTTTATTCTTTTTTTGTACCAGAGATAGAACTCATAACCTTGCACTTGCTAGGCAGGTGCTTAAGCCAGTGAGCTAAATCCCCAGCCTGCGGTGTTTTATTCTTAACATTGGTCCTTTTGAGTTCTTCTGTTTTTCCCGTTTTGGGGACTGGACCCAGCGGTCAGTTACATTCTAAGCAAGCACACTATCACTGAACTACAACCCCAGCCCAGGATGTTAGTCCTGTAAATAAAAATGAAGGTTCACTGTTGAATTAGCAAACAGTATTTAATAGAAAAATCACCGGAACAAGTGAAAACCTATTCATGGAGTTACATTCTAATTTATCTCTCTTAACCTCTTCAAAAATGTTACAGTAAGTATGTTATAGTAAGCACACACTCCTGGTATTTAGAAGCAGGGAAGTTTGATTTACACAAATTTCATAGTCTATCAAATCATCATCTTCAATAGTCTCCAAGATGTTACCTAGTTCATCTTCTCTCTTCAAATTATAAACATCCTGAGACAGAGTAATTGTGTGTAATTATTCAAAATCAACATGCTGGCCACATTTAAAATGAATTTGAAAAAAAATTCTGGCCATGTAATAAGCAAGCACTGCCTTGCAATGGTGTTACTGCTGCCTAGCCTTCCTATACTGATTTTATAGTTTCTTTCCTGTGTAATTTTGTCTGTTAATATTAATATCCAGGATTCACAGCATACCAAGATACTTACTTCCGAAGAACATGAAGAGCACAAAGAGGACTGGATAGAAATAGCTCAAGCAAACAGCCAGGGCATATTCATGAACTATAGCAGATAAAGTGAAGACAGCTAACATGGCAGCAGGTTTGAACCTCTTTGAAAAAAACTAAGATAACAAAGAAGTATTGAAAATTTATTTCAAATTTTAAGTAAATAAGCAAGAATTAAAACATGATTATCACATTATTTGTTAATTATATTTATACTTGACTTTCTAACTCTGCTCCTTGAATTAATCCAAACCTATTAAAATAATTATAAAAGATATATACTTATAAACATATGCTCATATAAACATATTTCTCCATTTTCTAAAACATTAATGATCATAGAACTGGGTATATTTTCAAAAACATAAATTTTTAATTAAATTAACTGAGCTTGTATTTGTATTACTGTGGTTAACAAAATGTAGTTTTCTTAAATAAAAAAACAGAATTTCAATTTAGAAAGTGATACCATATGGTAACTAGGGAAGGTAGCCTTTCCAAAAGTAAGATTTACAAAGGAAAAGGACTTGCCTCACTTGTATATGAAACTTCACTTCTAAACAATAGAACTAGCACTCATATACACTGTTATTTCTACCACAAGATTCTGTCCGTTGGTCACCTGCTGTCCTTACTTAACAGTAAATACTGTAATCCAGTGTGACTGATGAGAGATGTAAATCCACACATAGGTATTTCTCCACTTTTAACAAAGAAACAAAAACATGGAAAAAAAAAACTATTTAGAGGGAGATTATTTATTGACAAGATTCATAAGAAATGATTTATTACTGGTGGATCATGTGAATGCCTCCAAAGCCCACCAAAAATTCTTAATTTGTAATTATATAGAATAAACAAAAACATGGTATCCTACCATTATTACTGTACATATTACAGTACTATTCAAAGCAGAAGGGTTCTTAGATGTCAATTTTATAAGAAAAAGCCAAGAAATTACTGTATCAATTATTCTTTTCATCATGAGGAATTAAGTATAACTTTCTGTCTGCACAATACTGACACCTCCTAGAAATATCTACTTCTTAAATAATTATCAACTAAATCTTGCTGCTTACCCAAAGCAGGTCCTTGTAAACATAGTAGTATAGCCAGTCATGGACTACTACATTCCAGGTTCTATAGTAGTTAGAGTATGATGTAGAATTCCACCAATCCTGGGGGGAAAAATTAAAGATATAAAAAGTGAAAGCCTTGAATATTTCCAGAGCACATACACAAATGACACAGAACCCAGAATGTTGTGTTATAAATTGTTCACCCATATACTGAGGTGAGGAAAACCTTTATTTAATCCATTCCTATTGGCTTGAACCACTAGTTGTACATGCATGACTGTTCCATCAGGTGACTTAAACTAACCCATGGGACATGCATGACAATAAAAGTGATTACTTTATTACTAATGATACAAGCCAGCAGATGGGACAGTCATGTGTGTATCTCCAGTAGTTCAAGCCAGTGGGAACATAATATGTAAAAATTAGAGCCATCCAGCAGCAAGACATACCAATTATGGCCTCATCATGAATATGTTAAGGCAGTCTGGTTATGCATATTCAATACAACATTATTTCAGTATTTATACATGATTAAATTCCTAGGACTATTTTACCTCATTATCAAATTATGATGAAAAATGCAGAGCATAGTAAGTATTTAAATCTAATGTTCAAGGACTCAAACCGCACGGGAAATTCTTCCCAGAATCAATAACTGGGACCACTTCTTATTAAAAAGTTTCTGCATGTCAAAAGAAATCTCCAGCATAGTGAAAAGAAAACCCACAAACTGGGAAAAGATTTTAGTGAACTCTCTCTCAGACAAGGGCCTCTTGTCTAAAACATAAAGAATTAAAGAAACTCAGACCTCCAAAATTCAAAGATCCAATCCAAAAATGGGCATCTGAGATGAATACGCAATTCTCAGATGAAGAAATGCAAATGGCAAATAAATACATGAAAACATGCTCATCATCATTGGTCATTAGAGAAATGCAAATTAAAACCACACTGAGATGCCATCTCACTCCTGAAAGAATGGCCAGGATCAAGAAAACCGACAACAAATGCTGGAGAGGCTGTGGGGAAAAAGGAACTCTCCTGCACTGCTGGTGGGAGTGTAGACTGGTACAGCCTTTGTGGAGATCTGTCTGGAGATTTCTCAAAAAGTTGGGACTGGAAATCCCATTTATTCCAGCTATTCCACTTCTAGGCATATTCCCAGAAGAACTGAAAGCATCATACCACAGTGATATATGTGCACCTATGTTTATAGCAGCACAATTTGTAATCACCAGATCTTGGAAACAACCCAAGTGTCCATCAACTGAGGAATGGATAAAAAAGTTGTGGTATTTCTATACAATGGAGTATTATTCAGCTATAAAGAAGGATCACATTGAGATATTTATCAATAAATGGGCGCAGCTTGAAACCATACTCATAAGTGAAATAAATCAATCTCGCATGTGTGAATACCGAATAGTTTCCCTAATGTAAGTAATGATTCAAATATATAAAAATAAGTGGTAATCATGATTCCCCATTAGGTGGCCTTGAAGCCTTATAAAGTTTTCACTCATTAATTAGAAAGGCTTTATTCTGGGCTTCTTGATATGAAAATATTTGAAGCTAGAGTATATGAAGTTTTATCCAAACATTTCAAGGAAAAAGACAGACACTATGGTAACTACTATTAAGTCGGGTTATATGGTGGTGAAGTACTAGGTTGCTGAAACAGTCATGCTTTGACCTCTATTGTTATATTGCTTTGTCCTGTTTTATCTTAATCTCCCCCTTATTGTTTTTTAAAAAATTATTTAGTCATTTCTTATGTTTGTCTTAATTAAAGAAAAAATTTAAAAAATTAGGATATATAAATAGTAACTCTTTTTGATTTCCTATTAACTTGTTTTGAAGTCCTGTAGTACTCCCACGATCTTGTTTTGACCGATTAGACTCTGTTCCATTCTATATGATAGTATCAAGTTTGAAGACATAGGCAACTACTTTGAAGGCAATAAGATTCACTAAGATACCCATTCTGGTTTGACTATTGTCTTCTTTGGAAGTCCTGTAATGTTTACAATGCCTAAGTTTTATTGGTCTTGTTCTCTACTGTTTTGTCCAACTTTATAATATCTAATGAGATAGACAATTCTTTTTAAGGAAACAAGGGACAACGTTGATAACCATTGTTGATAACCTTGTACTCTGTTCTACATCATGTGCTATGTTTATCCTTGGTTTTGACTGACAACTTTGTTTTGCCATATTTGACTTTATTCTCTCCCCCCCAAAAAAGTAATAAGAACTAAGGAGTAATAAAATCCAAAATGTGTAAATTTTGTTGTAAAAAAGAGAGGGGAAAAAAAAGAGCTCTAATGGATATAACAGCAAGTATGTTTAGGGGTGTTAAATAGCTGACTATATTAATGTTTTTGGATCATTGAACACAGCTGTTTGCAGTCTCCCTGTTTGAATGTCCACCTTGTATTCTTTGATACTGTGATTTGAGCAACTTTTTCAAGATGATAATATGTAATCTACTAACAGGTGATTTCTTACTGTTATGTTTTTTGTTTTGTTTTGTTTTGTAGTTCTGTATTACGTGTACCCTTACACCGTTTTGTTTTGTTTTGTGTTTTTCTCTTTTTCCTCTTAAATAAAAAAAAAAAAAATAGAAAAAAAAAATAAATCTAATGTTCACTTACACAACTGTCACTGAACTCTTTCCAGTCCTGCCAGAACATAATGAAACACGCAAACCTCATGATGCCTGGATCAAGTGCTACCAGTGAAGAGTTGTTGGAGATTATAAATAACAAGATTCAGTTATATTGCAGAAGGATGGCAACCACCTCCAGGTCCTAGTCTCCCTTTTTATATGTCTTTTCCCAAATTTTAAGATCAGACTAATAGAATTAGACATTAAATTTGAAACTCACACTTACTGCTTCTTTGAGAAAAGAATGGCAGACCTGGGAAGTTGCCCAAGTAACATAACTTTAGTGCGCTAAGTAGTGTTGTAGAACACTGTGAGCCACACTCTGGCTCTATTTTACAATGTCTGACTTTAAACATATATAAAGATACTACTATTCTAGGTGTGGTGGCACATCCCAGCACTTAGGAGGCTGAGGCAAGGAGGGTCACTGTGAGGTCAAGGTCAGCCTGCCATTAGTGTGAGACCCTGTGTCAAAGAAAAAAAAAAAAAAAGAAGAAGAAAAAACACTATTTTGACCAGAATTAATACCTTTCCAAATAAAAGGAAAAGGTATATATAAGACTGCTCAACAGTCTTAAATGGATTGATTTGCTGAGGTCACGCTAACAGACTAGTCAGAGAAGTCTCAGGGTGCCTACTAGACAAATGTGTCCTTACTATAATCACCAATATATTCTCAAAGGACTCAGCAGAAACCATATATTGTATTAAGCAAGAGACTTTAGAGGCAGAAGAAACAAAGAAGCTAAATATGTCTATATCAGAATTTCAGACTTGATATCAGTATATTCAAAGAAAAGAAAATTATTTCACAATGTTTCTATCAAACTGTTGGTGATAATAGCCAACAATGTGCAAGCATTTATTTAATTTTTTTCCTAGAAGATAGATTTTTCATATATCCAAATTGCTCATTTTATTACACCATTTTACCTTAATTCATACCTGTAATTATGAGTCTGAATACCAAATAATATTCTCAGTAAACAATGTATTTCTTTCCAACAAATTAGGACTGTTTAATATCTGATACTTTAGGAAAAGTAAACAAATTTTAGTTTTTTTAAGACAGAAAAAATACAAACAACACAGAATTTCATAGAAAATTAACAATGGTTATTACATATTGCTATCTTCAAAGTAGTTGCTCAAGATATAGCTATGCAAAATTCATTGAACAATATAAGCAAAACTGTTCTCGTCAATGAACTAAATTAGTAGTGTAACTATCTTAGCTAACCTGTGTATATGCATATTTTTTTCTTTTCCTTTCCTTCTTTTCTGTTTTCCCTCACCCCAGTTGTTCTTTCCTTTTGAGCAGTTTCTTTCCCTTTCACAATTAATCTACTGTAGATTTTGGATCTTACTTACTCTTTGAGTTTCTTACACTAGGGAGAGAATACCATGTTTACACATGTGAGTCTGATTTATCTCACTTATGAGTATGGTCTCGAGTTGCATCCATTTACCTATAAAAACCTCAAGATTATCCTTTTTTATAGCTGAGTAGTGCTTCATTGTAGAAGAATACATCTTTCTTATCCATTTCTGTGTTGATGAGTATTTGGCTGTTTCCAAGATTTAGCTATTACGGATTGTGTTGCTATAAATAAGGGTGTGCATATATTGCTGTGGTATAAAGAAATACATAAAATCTAAAAGAAAGATGAAGAGCTGGGGATTTAGCTTAGTGGTACAAGTGTCTGCCTGGCAAGCCTGAAGTCATGAGTTCGACCCCCAGCACCCAAAGAAAGAAGGATGAGTCCACGGATATATTACCTTGTAAAACATCCTGTCACCAAATCGTAACATCTCAGCAAAGGCATTGAGCCAGCAGTGCAAAAAGGCAAAAAAAGAAAGTAACATTATCAGCAAACCTGAAAATAAGATTAACAATATGAAGAGACTTTTCAAATAGCTCACATACTAAGCCATTAATTACATGCCATCATTTGTTTAGCTGGGATTATTTTATAAAATACATATTTTAGTTTACTCATTCCAGAGATGATACAGTACATTTTTGGAAATTAATTTAAAAAATATCAGTAATAGACCACCCACAATGTTTTAAAGAAATGCCTCGATAAATGGCTTCATTTGGCAGTCAAGCCTCTTAAAAATATGACTCGATAAACACATTTCTATGGGGCTGGGGATTTAGCTTAGCAGCATAAGCGCCTGCCTTGCAAGCAGACAGTCGTGAGTTTGGTCCCCGGTACCCTTAAAAGGAAAAAGACAAAAAAAAAAAAAAAAAAAAAAAAACTTTCTAAACCAAATGTTTAAAACTGGAAGATTTTGCTCCCTCGCTATTTTATGCAATTATTGGCAACTCTGGACTCATTTTTGGTGGTGATACACTAGAGGGTAAGATTGTGCCCCTGGGATCTAGTTGTTCGAAGCCAGGTGACTGCTAAACACCCTACAACATATCAGAGTCACCCCAAAGAACTATCCAGCCCAAAACATTAACACTAACAAGGTTAATATAACCTGAGTTAACTTCCATCCAATAACTGTATCCTCAGTGTTGTAAATATCATCCTGACGAAACTTCTCTCATTCCAAATACTTCACACCTATAAGACATCATCCCACTATCTCAAAGTTCTTGCTACCAGTTATATGCCAGGCAAAAGCCTATTTTTTAATACCCAGTGTTAAATGTCATCTTTATGAAATTAAGTCCATAAGCACTTTGGTGTATGTGTATATATTACAATACATACCGTGTGTGTGTGTGTGTGTGTGTGTGTGTGTGTGTGTGTGCGTGCGAGTGTATATAATATATGAAATACCTATTTATATATTATCCTCTTTCACTCACTTATTCAAAAATATTTATAGAGCATCTACTATGTGCCAGACAATCAGAGAATATAGGATTGTAACATTTAAGACACAATCTTTATTTTTTAAGACATAATCCTTGATGTAAAGGAATTTGCAACAATTGAAAAGACATCCAAATATGTAATACATATTTTATTGTAAGGACAGATAAAGTTTATTATATGAGTCAGAAGGATTACAGGGAGAAGTCTCAAAAGAAAGAATAAAGAAGAGCAGCAATAAAAATTACTAAAATTTAATTAGTAAAGAGGAAGAGTTAACTCAAAGGAAAAAAATAAAAGCTCCCAGGGAATAAAGATTGTCTTGTATGATACAGAGTCTTCGGCAACTGGCAGTCAATGGTGTTAAGAGAGAAGGTATGGCTGGAAGACAGAATAAGATAAATAGCACCAAGTGAAATTTCTAAATGTGATCAGAGCATCCAGTGCTCCATGGAGGTCAATTTGGATATGGGCTAAATAAACAATCTACTCAGGTTAGAATCAGTTTAATTGGTGATTTTAACAGGGTACTTCAGTGGCCTTGTAATAGTAAGAGCAAGATTATAGTGAACCGAACAGTGAAAAGATAAAGGGGCTAGTGGAAAATGGTGCAGTGGTAAGTAACAGATCAGCCTCTCTGAGATTTGGAATTCAGACACTGGAAAATAAGGTTGAGGCAGGAAGATTACTGTGAGTTTGAGACCAGCCTAGGCTACATGAGTTGAAGGCCAGCCTGAAATACAAACAAGACCATATCTCAAAACAAATAAAAACAAAAACAAAAAACCTAAACTTTGGAAAATGAAGAAGAAGAAGAAGACAAAGAAGACGAAGAAGACGACGAAGGAAGAAGAAGAAGAAGAAGACAAAGAAGACGAAGAAGATGACGAAAACGAAGAAGACGAAGAAGACGACGGCGATGAAGATGAAGACCAAGACGAAGAAGACGACGACAATGACGACGACGACAAAGAAGAAGAAGAAGAAGAAGAAGAAGAAGAAGAAGAAGAAGAAGAAGAAGAAGACGAAGAAGAAGTAGTAGTAGTAGTAGTAGTAGTAGATTCCTTGGGACCAAAAAAGATCTGACAGGAAAATTAAAGCCTACGGAAAAAACTAAAGAGTCAGAACACAATGTGGAGAATAGGAGGGTGGTCTGTACTTCTCCCTGGCTCCCCCGATCATGGCTTGTCTAGGGACAAAGTGAAAGTTGGGACTTCGCAGGGCTCTGAGAGAATCTTGGAGGTAGAATGCATCAGTGGGTGCTGTGAGTTGGCAAAGAGAGCGCAGGATGCTCGTCCCCCAAGTCCTTGGATAGGCAACAGGTGGAAAACTTCTCTAATCCAAGTACCCACCACATCCCTGGAGACAGTGCTTGGTTAGATGTCATTCTGGGGAAGGATTGTTGTTTGAACCCAGGACTTAAGAGCACCTTTAGACAGCTTAACTTCAAGATCCCCAGTGTTACAATCCCACAATAATTGGGTAAGACAGAGCCATGAGAGAAAATTACTACTATTAGCAGAAATATAGCAGCTACATATGATACATACTAGCTGTTAATTAATGCCTTTTTTATGTTTATACTATGTTTGTGGCTTTCTTCTTCTACAGTTAAGAATGGTACATAACTGGTTCTTATAGTATGTTAATATCCAATTTGCCCTGGATAGGTTGTGTCATTGTATCTAGTTTTTAGAAGCCAATAGGCTGCTGAACACCCTGAAACATAGAAGAACCACCCCGAAGAATTAACCGGCCCCAAACATTAATACTGACTAGGTCAATACTCCTCATATCTAAAGACCCAATCAAAAATGGGAATCTGAAATGAACAGATGCTTCTTCTCCAATAAAGAAATACATATGGCCAGAAAATACAGGAAAAAATGTTCAACATCGCAGGCCATTCAAAAAATGCAAATTAAAACAACACTGAGATTCCATCTCCCTCCAGAAAGAATGACTGTCATCAAGAAATCAAATAACAAATGCTGGAGAGGCTGCAGGAAAGAAAGGAATCCTTCTATAGACTGATACAACCAGTATATAAAGAAGTGTGGAGCTTCCTCAAAAATCTAAAACTAGAAATTCCATTTGATCCAGCTATTCCCCTTCTAGGTATCCTGAAAGTTAAAAACAACGTAATATTACAGTGATACCCATGTTTACAGGGGCACAACTTATAAAAGCTAAATCCTAGAAGCAGCACATATGTCCAGCAACAGATGAATGGCTAAAGAAAACATGGTATATATACATAAGAAAATATTACTTTGCAATAAAGGATAAACTGAAGTCATTTATAGGAAAACTGATACACCTTGAGACCGCATGTTAAGTAAATCGGACATTCAAAATTAAGTATCACATGGTTTCTCTTACTTGAGAAACCCAATATATAAAGTGCAAATGAAAAGACAAAGACAGTAGGAAAAAAGAAAGAGAAAAAAATCTTATTGTAATCTAGAAAGGCCAATGTATTTAAAAATGTACCTTGATTTAGCCAGGTGTGGTGGTACATACCTATAATCCCCTGAGGCAGGAGGATCATTATAAATTCAAGACCAGCCTGAATACAAAATGAGCTCAAGGCCAGTCTGATCTACACAGTGAAACCCTGTCTCAGAAAAACAAAAACAACAAAAAAAAAATGTACCTTGATTTAGTATAATTGTTTCATGTATTTTATGTTTTTTGGCCTGTTAGTCTGGCTGTTAATCTGTGTTTATTGCAATTATAAGATTTATTATAAGATAAAGACATAAAATGTAAAAACGTATTTATATCGGCACATGAATATATAGAAAATCAGGAAAACCAAAGATGATTATAGGCAATAGCTTTCTATTTTCCTTTTGAATGTATAATGACCAAATTCTCAAGTCCCCATGTTACCTGGCAAGATGGAATTAAATACACACAGAACCATGACACGAGCGCTGAAGGGTTCCTGTTTGATATTTCTAAACAACGGTGCACAAAGCCTTTCAAAGATGTAGTACACATAAAACAAACAACCGAAAACCTACAACGTAACAAAGATAATAATGAAAATTTGGTAAGTAAAGATGGAAAGTGGTATTTTTACTGTCAGAGAGTATACATATGTGACCCTTAAACTAATGTTTACACATATTCCATTTTACTCTACTATCTAACACTGCAAATAATCCTTCAGAAGTATTACTCAAGCCTACCTGTATCGTAATTTTTTTCTTCTGGGGGGGTGGTCTTTGTGAGAACAGGGTCTCACTGTGCAATTCAGGCTGGCCTTGAGCTCTGTAGCCCACGCTGGTCTTGAACTCGTAACTATCTTCTTGCCTCAGGCTCCCATAGTGCTAAGATTACACGCGTGCACCACCATGCCCAGCTTCTACTGTAACTTATCACATCCCTTTAATAATTCCTCTTTCTCTCTCTCTCTCTTTCTGCTAGAGTCTTACTCTATAGTACAAGCTGGCCTTGAGCTCCCTTACATAACCCTGGCTGCCCTTGAACTCACAGGCAATCCTCCTGCTCAGACTCCACAGTGCTATGGTTATAGGTGTGCACCATTATGCCCACCAACTGATTTGCATTTTAAAAGATTATCTAAGAAATATTTTTTTCCTTGCTACAAAAGACCTATAAAAGAATTTATGTTACAAATAGATATTTTAAATAAAATGAGATCTTCTGGGACTTATGATTCTGATAATGGGATAAGGGAGAAACAGGATTTTCAATTACTGAAATAACCAAATAAAATATAATGACATTAATACTTTCTTTTACTAAAGAAAAAAATTTTTTTCTTGGTACCAAAAATGGAGCTCAGACCATGCACTTGCCAGACAGGTGCTGTGCCACTGAGCTACATCCCTGGCCCAAGAAAATTACTTTTGGCAAAACAAACAGTGCATATACTATTAAAAGATTACACAGTCTCAACACACACTATTCCTGAGTTCCTCAATCACATAAATTTTACCAATATTTAAA